TATTTACGATGATATTAATGAATGGTTCCATCAAATGAATTTTTCCTTTAGTAAAATTATTTATTTATTTTATTTCATGAAATAAAATAAATAAAAGATACTTCATCATGATATGAAAATCAAATTTGATTTTCTAGTTTTTAGAATATGCTCGAATTGCTATATCGAATCCGAAATTCTAGGAATGCCTATATGAATTCACTCTTGATTTTCTAATTAGAAAATCAAAGTTCATATTTTTCATGTTTCGAATATCTTATTTTCAAGAATTTAGAAATTCATCGGCGAATTCATATAGGCATTCCTAGAATATCCTCGATTAAACTCTATAACTCATTTTCTAGTTTACAGTGTGGACGAAGGTCTCTCCCATGTTTTTCCACTCATCTCTATTTTGAGCCTGAGTGCTCCAGCCGTTCCCTAAGAAGGAAAGAATTTCATCTCTCCATCTTGTTGTTTGTCTTCCGGGTTTTCTTTTCCCGTCTATTACTTGCCATTCTGTGGCAAGCTTGGTCCATCTATTGTCATGGTGTCTAGCAACATGACCTGCTCATCTCCATTTGTTTCTTTTTATTGTTTTTGTTATATCGATCAGCTTTGTTTGTTTTCTTATCTGATCGTTTTTGATTTTATCTCTTCTTTTTATTTCTAGCATATTTCTTTCCATTGCTCTTTGGGCAATTGCGAGCTTTTTTTCTAATTTTAGTGTTGTGCTCCACGTTTCTGACCCGTAGGTCATTGCTGGGAGTATACATTGATCAAATGTTTTCTTTTTTAGGGATAGTGGAATGTCTGCTTTGAATATTTTGTTTAATTTACCAAATTGCCTCCATCCTTGTGATATTCTTTTATTGATTTCTATTTCGATATTTCTATTTGATGTTATTGTTTGACCTAGATATACAAAAGTGTTGGTCTTTTCAATTTCTTTGTTATTTAATTTTATTATTTTATTATCTTTTATGTGGTCGTTGATCATAATTTTTGTTTTATCTATGTTGATTTTTAGGCCTGCTTTTATGCTTTCGTTATGGAGATCTTCTATCATTTCTTGTAGAGTTATTAAGTCATTTGCAAATAGTACAATGTCATCAGCAAATTTTAGATTGTTTAGATATTCTCCACATATTTTTATCCCCTTTTCATCCCAGTTTAATCTTCGAAATACATCTTCTAAGCATGTAATGAAGAGGATTGGGGACATAGTATCTCCTTGTCTTATTCCTCTATTTATTTTTATATTTGTTTCAATATTATGGAAATTTATAGAGGTTTTGGCGTTATCGTATATGTATTTAATTAGATCAATATAGCCTTTTTCGATGTGTTGATTTTTTAATGCTTCGATGATTGCTGGTTTTTCCAAAGTGTCAAAAGCCTTTTCATAATCTATGAATGCCATACAGAGTGGTAAATTAAATTCCTTTGTTTTTTCCAAAATTTGGTTTAGAGTGTGGATGTGATCTATAGTAGAGAATCCTTTTTTAAAACCTGCTTGTTCTCTATCTTCTATTTTTTCTAGTTTGTTTTTTAGCCTATTGGTTAAAATTTTTGTAAATAGTTTATATAGATGTGAGAGGAGGCTAATTGGTCTGTAATTTTTTAGGTCAGTATGATCTCCTTTTTTGTATATGAGAATAGCATTTGCATTGTTCCAATCTTGTGGTATTTTCTTTTCTTTCAAACATTTGTTAAAAAGTTCTTGAATAGTTTTTAGGGCGTTTGTTCCTCCATTTTTTATCATGTCGGTAGTGATGCGGTCTGGACCTGGAGTCTTGTTATTTGGCATTGCTTTAAGTGCCATTTCTATTTCTCCTAATATTATATCAGGGATGTCGTTTTCTTGTTCATAGTTGTTTTGTATTTTGTTTGTCTTATTTGATATCTTTGTGTTGTATAGTTCCTCATAGAATTCCTTGATTCTATTACTCATTTTATATCTATCATACAAAATATTTCCATCTTTATCTTTTAAGGAGATAATTTGGTTTTGTCCAATGGCGATATTTTTCCAAGCTCTTTTTAAGCTTTTATTATTTTCAATTGTATTTTGGATGATTTTTGTGTTGTGACTTCGTTTTTTCTGATCGTATTTTTTTCTTCATTGTTTTGTTTAGTTCTATTAATTCAATATGATTTATATTTGTATTTGTATTTAGTTTTCTTCTTTTCTCAATTAATTTTCGTGTTTCATCTGCTAATCTGAAAGTATTTTGAGTTTTAGGTGATTCCTTTGCAAGTTTTTCTGCAGTATTAACAATTATTTTCGTTAGAGTCTGATTCATTTCATTCAAGTTCATATTTTTGGTGTTTATTTGTGTTTTTATCATTTGATCAATTTTGATTTCAAACTCTTTTCTTTTTATTTTGAGTATGTCATTGTTTATCTGTGCCTCCTTTGTAACGAATAATTTTCTTCTTTCAATTTTAGTATTTATATTTATTTTACTTCTAACCATTCTGTGGTCGCTTCCTGTTTTGATTGAGTTTAGAATCTCAACATTTTTGAAGATGTGTCTTTTATTAGTTAAAATGAAATCAATTTCATTTTTCACAGAATTGTTTGGTCCTTTCCAGGTCCATTTTCTATGGGTTTTTTTGTAGAAGAAACTGTTTGTTATTTGTAGGTTGTTTTTTAGTGCGAAGTCAATTAGCATTTTGCCTCTATCATTTCTGTTTCCTATTCCAAATTCTCCCATAGCTATTTCTTTATCATTTTCTTTTTTTCCAATTTTCGCATTGAAATCGCCCATTATAATGGTGAAATAAGTTTTGTCCTCATTTAGTAAGTTTTCGATCTCATGATAGATTTCGATGACTTCTTGATCATCATGGCTTGTTGTTGGTGCATAAACTTGGATTATTTTCATTTTATATCTTTGATTTATTTTTAGAATGAGTTGAGCCAGTCTGTCGTTTATGCTTTTATACTGATTATTTGGTTTGTAATCTTTTTATTTATTACGAATCCTACGCCATTTTTGCTGTTATTGGCGTTTCCACATGTGTAAAGTGTGTGACCACTTTTTAGTTTTATTAGATGCTCGCCCTTACATTTTTTTCCACTTAATCCTATTACATCCCATTTTATTTTTGATATTTCTTCTTCAAATTCTTTTCTTTTTTCTTCTTCTGTGAAAGTTCTTATGTTGTAGGTGCATATATGCATATTTAATAAATTTGGAGATTTGTGGCTTTGTTTATTTCTTTTGTTTGGTTTGTTGTTTTTGTTGTTGGTTGGCATCTGTAGCATATTTATCATTTGTGACCCATTGCCGAAATCACAAACGCGGTCCTTGTTAATTCGGGCGACGACCGAGCTGGCATCAATTTTTTGTGTTTGTGTTTTCATGGGGGGTTGTGTAGCCAATAAAACACCACGCTGGCTAGGCGGGTTGGTGAGTGTTTGTCATCTGAGTTTTCTCTCCTAGATGAGTTGCCTATCATGGCTAAGAGCCTCATCTACCCTTGGTTTTTGAATCAGAGTTTTCCTTCTCTTGGGTGGACTACCATTTAAGGCTGGAGAGCTCCACCTACCCTGGCTAAGGCTTTTGAAGCTTGGTTCGGGAGGAACCTTGTTTCTGGCGGCCTATACTCGCCCTATCATCCTGTCGTCTTTGGGTTTCTGTGGCATTTTATAGGGGTTTTAGGGCCAGTCAAAACTCCACCACACCCTGTTGGCAAGAAGGCTGAGTATTGTCCGGGACTGCTTATTTGAGCAATTGTTTGCTCTTATTCGCAGCTAACCATTATACTAATGGCCGTTCCACTATCCGCAACCTGTGGACCCGCTTGGTAGCATCCAGCTTAGCCCCAAGGAAGCGAAATATATAGAAGGAAAAAAAAATAGAGATCCTATTGTTCGCTGTTTGTGTTTGTCTGAACAGTGTATATATATCGTACGTTGGCTGATTACTCATTCTCAGTTATCATTACAAAAAAAACAACGAATGGCAGAAAAAGTGAATGTAAGGATCAGCCTTGTCAGATCTATTGCGAAAATAAGAATTGATTTTTATTTATTAACCTTTTCCTAATTATAAAAATATCCTGTTTTATTTCAAATTTAAAACTAATCGATCGTCAAATTCAATCATTAATCGTTTCTTTTTTTTTTCTTTTTTAAGGATAAACAACAAAAACAAGAACAAACCAATGATTTTATTAAAAAGTTACTCGAATTGACAGAAAATGGAATCAATATCGATAAACATATGATGGAAACACTTGCAAAACAATATAACATTCAAAAAGGAACGTTTTAATGTTTTTTTTTGCTTGATCTTGTTTTTCTGAATACATCTCATCAGATGCTTTATATATCGAAACACAAGCTTCAAATGAAAACTAATACTGCATCTTTCATTAAAAGAGAAAAGAGCGAAAACTGATAGAAAATTCTAAAATCGAATGAAAATTATCATTTTAATGAGCAATTTATGAAACTCTATTTAAATGTTTCTTTCAAATAGTTTACATAGTTAATCACAATGAGTTAAATTGTTTAATTCTATTTAATAATCAACTATAGATAGATTATGTTGATCAATGTAATTCAAATGAAATAAGTATGGTCAAATCTTTAAATATTCTTTTGATTTTCATAATGTATTGATTGAATAATGATGATTGATTGTTTCTATTTATATGTCTTCTTCGAATGTTAAATCTCTATTAAATTTGAAATGCCATCTACACTTTTATAGATATAACGAAAAAAAAAATATTGAAACAAGTTTCGATATGATATTTTCAAAAAGTGATCAGCTTATTTAACAAAAGTTTTTTGTTGAGCAGCATATACGTAGATATAGAGAACTCAACCAGGCTAGCTTTTTTTTTTAAATTCACAAGTTTTGAACAAAAGTGTTTTCGAGATATGGAACTTTCAAGACATAGAACTATTTCTATGGATAGTGTCCACCGCGCGCATTTTTTTCAAAGCATCATATCTCGAACAGGTTTCGTTCAAAACTTGTGAATTTTTTATGGAAACTAGTTTAATTATGTTCGCTATGTGCATAAAGGTTCAAATCACAATTGGTAAAACGACATTTGCGTAAATCTAGATGTTCAAAGAATAGACATATTAAAAATTCGATTATGAAGTCAAATATAAACTGGAACAGAAATCTTTTTACGATTATTATTAGAATACGATATAATATCTGTAGGCAAAAAGTCATTGAAATCGGAACTGAATATCTGAAGAGGTTCCTTCGTAAGCAATTAATCTAGACATTTATTATTGAGACTTTCACTTGTTTTTTTTTACTTGAACAAGATTTTTTACGATTACGTTCATGTTTTATACAACATAGTAGACCACCAAGTATAATGAATAAAGCTGAAAGACCACCTGTAATAAACCAAATTAAGTATGATACTGTTCCTCCACAATGAGCAGTATATTGTGTCGGACAAGTTTTGGATGATTCAGGAAATACAAGTCTTAATGTATAATCCCAAGCATCGTGAACAGATTCTATTGGAATATTTATGTGGCAATTGTTACAATTAATTATTTGATTAATATGATGAGGTTTTGAATCAATATCTGTATAGTGCGTAAAAGATGTTTTCAAAGGATTTTGACAATATTTTGATATTGAAATATTAAAATAGATTGTATCATCTGTACAAAATGAATCAATAATGCATACTTCACATGATTTTGTTTGTTTTTGTGCACTGGTTAAACCAGAGATAATAAAAATTCCATAAAGCAGAAGAAAGTTAATCATGACGAGCATATCAATCTAATGTGTCTGTGTTTTATACTTCTTGAAACTTTTCGTCTTCTTCTTATCTCAACAACGAAAAAGGTGTTCTTCATCATAATTTACTTCGTACTCATATTTTGATAAATTTGCTGCATCATTCTCATTGCATGGTAAAACATTTTTGACAGAATCAACATAGTTTGTAGCTTCAAACATTGTTGAATATGAATCAATACGATTTATCCAAAGACATTCAGGTTTTTTATTATCATTCTTTGTAGATTTAGGTCGCCAACGAGCAACAGGAACAAAGCTTTTGTTCAAATGATTTCCATCTAATTGATCAGACGGAGATTCCTTTAAAGACTTTTCAAAAGTATCTAGACATAAAAAAAGGATTCATTAGAAGTTTATTTGCCATTATCATTAAGGACAAAATCAAATCATATAATAAGAATAAAGGCGACTATAAGGATTTGACTATAGAACGGGATATATGTAGGTTTGTAGAGAAAGACTTCCTCTATCCAGTCGTATATATATTATCAAATTCTGTTGCGTACCGTGGTAGAAATTTGAATTGAAAAAAATCATGCATGTTACATTTTTTTAAGGGATACTCGTATACTATAATCTAAATCATATTGAACCAACACAGAACCTAATCCAACCATTTATATACCGTTTGATAGCTCCCATTATCTACCTTCATAATCTATGTCAATCTTCTCTATACTTGAGTTATAATGTGTCTTATAATAGTTTGAAAAAAAATAATTCTATATATTTTTGATCATGTCATTTGAAAGGAACATTTATCGGTTCATGTTTAGAATTCTGAAAAATATATTATAACTATACTAAATTGTAGAGATTTGTTTGCTTTACAAAATAATATGTAGAACACATCTGCTCGATTTTATTTAGTACACTTATTAGTACCGTACTAATACATTATAATATAGAAATTGCATATATCACATATAATCAGAGCGTTTTAGAATTTATTTTATTGTCAATGCTTGAATAATTTCTATTACAAATATGACAACCACACAGAAAAACCTCTTCAATAAAGATTCTAACGAGGGAACATATTCAATTGCCGGATGCTGTTCAAGCCCATATTTTAGCTATGAGTAGAACTCAGTGAGACTAAGAGAACTCTAACAAGGTTCCGGCCCATGGCATGTTTCTGCGAAGATATCGAGGTTTTAGTGAATTGTCTCTGCAGCACCCTACTTTTGCAGCAAGGCTATACTTTGGAGAAGTTTTTTTGTGTAGTCGTCATATTTGTAATAGAAATTATTCAAGCATTGACAATAAAATAAATTCTAAAACGCTCTGATTATATGTGATATATGCAATTTCTATATTATAATGTATTAGTACGGTACTAATAAGTGTACTAAATAAAATCGAGCAGATGTGTTCTACATATTATTTTGTAAAGCAAACAAATCTCTACAATTTAGTATAGTTATAATATATTTTTCAGAATTCTAAACATGAACCGATAAATGTTCCTTTCAAATGACATGATCAAAAATATATAGAATTATTTTTTTTCAAACTATTATAAGACACATTATAACTCAAGTATAGAGAAGATTGACATAGATTATGAAGGTAGATAATGGGAGCTATCAAACGGTATATAAATGGTTGGATTAGGTTCTGTGTTGGTTCAATATGATTTAGATTATAGTATACGAGTATCCCTTAAAAAAATGTAACATGCATGATTTTTTTCAATTCAAATTTCTACCACGGTACGCAACAGAATTTGATAATATATATACGACTGGATAGAGGAAGTCTTTCTC